TTGTCTTTAGCATTACGAGGTAAAGTTACTCAGTTTGCCCAATGATCGTGGAAATAAGAAAAGAGTGCGGTAAATTATGTAGTAGTCCACTATATAACCTATAAATGATAATAAAAATTTAAACCGAAAATACTTTTGTGAGTAATAAATTTGCCATAAAAAAATATTGAATCGATCGGTCAAATACAACAATTTACCTACTTGTTCAAATGAGCGTTAAGGAATTACGAAAATGGTATAAAAAGGTAACAGGTGTTGAAGAAAGCAGCAAAGGTGATGTAAGATTAACAAAGTTTGAGCTAGTTTAAGTGGATTACTTAGGTAGGCATTGCATTTTGACGGAGTGGGTGTGTTAACACCTGAGAAGAGGAGCCCCAAGAAAGCAATAGTCACGACAGGATCGAGGAAGATTGCGTCTCCGTGTTCCCGTGTCCCTGGCTAATGCTATAGTGCAGGTGCACCGCGGGTTTTTTAGTGGGTACCCGTTCCACTACTCCCACACACCCCTGTCACCAGGGGACGCATAAAGATATTTTACTCGTTAAAAAAAAAAAGGGAGGCATTATTTTTTCTAATTACCCGCCTATACGACGCATAAGAGGATTTATCAGCCTATGTATTTTTGTTCTGTATGTTTGTTCCTTTATAGCGATCCACAGACCAGATTTAGATGATTCTAACATTAATCGAAATGTCTTAATTTTGCGAGGGTAACTAGACACAATATCTCCACTTTAGAATATATTCCCGTTTCGCGTTTTTACAAACACGAAATCACTTATACAAAGTAGCCTTTAACTGTGAGCAACTATTTATGGATTACGCAATTTTTTTTCGCATCGAACCCAAAACAATACGTTCAGTGGCAGTTGACTGATCACTTGAACCACTGCGCTATTCTGGCATTTCAAGTTTGAAAGATTGTGGAACATTTAACCCTAATTAAACAAACGACTACCTATTTATGTAAATATGAGCGCCGATTGTCTAAACGCGAAGGACGTTGTTGTTTATAAATAACCGAAACCGGTGTCAAAGTCCGTTCCGTTGATTCATAGACAACGGTGATTTCCAGCGTCTAGTGGACTTTGTCCTCGACCTGTCTATTCTTAATGCTGCGCACCCGGTAAGACGTACACAAATAAATGACACGTGTGTTATTACTTTATCATTGAGACTAGTTCGACTAGAAACAAATCGGATGTTGTGTACGGTAATTTATGATTATTATACAAAACCCCAGAGTTTGACGAAACGAACGATTAATTTGTACCGGGTTTCCCCTACTCGAAATCTAGACGTTATCTTTTACTCAAAAATCAATTATTCAATTCGAATGATAGAAAATGTGTTAAATTCGTTTTCGATTTTTTAATACTGTTATGTTTGACATTGACAGTATGAACTTGAATAATGAATGTCTAATGCCACGCAGCAGCTTCTGCTGTTGCACGAATGGGCAGACCCGTCTGGGTAAGTACCACGGCCTCACAGAAGACCGACGTGAGGTGGAAGTACGATACTTTTGCGTTTCGTCTGCTGATTGAGGTTGTTATTTTAAAGGTCAGGTTTCGTAGATGTCCATGCGTGTCGGTAATGATTTAACGTCAGTTTTTTGTGTAAATACGTTGTATATATTTATTATTATTATAATTATTGTATTTTTTTTTTAAACATTGCCCTTACTTTGGGATAACTTTATCCTGTGTTGTAAGGACGTTTTTACAAACATAAATTTCACGCGGACAAACACCCAGATGCGGAACAACTATCTGTGGGTCACACAAATAGTTATCCCGTGTGGGAATCCAACCCACGACCCCCAATGCCGAAGCCGATACCTTGGCGACTGTGCCACGGAGTCATATATTTATTATTATTATTATTGTATATAAAATGTGTAAAAATTTAACTTTCTACACTCCGCCATGTAAACAAATCTCTAGACGCGCAACGTGCTTGTGTAAGAAACGAAAGTTTTTTCGCGTTTTAATATAGACTTTTTTCATTATGATAAGATTATCAATGTTTGTGTTTACTTAGGTAAATATAATTTTGCTTTGAGTTTTTTCCGTGACGTTTTAGCCATTGATACAAAATAGTAATAAAAGTCATGGTAAAATTGGGGCGCATATTTCGCCACGAGAAGGTGACACTGCAACTACCCAATTTCTCCTCAACTCGTTGAATACCCTATCAATAAACCGTTACTTTCTTATTATGTTAGTGGAATGAAAAAAACTAGTTTAGAACCAGTTCACTGTTCGACAAAAATATAAACACCGATTGTCGCTGTTTATATTTTTGTCAACGCGAGGTGGCATACATCATATTTCTATAGATTCATGGTGAACATTGCAGTATTTATAACCACCTTCAATTTAACTTTTTGAACTAAATGATAATTATGCGTATTTTGTCGCATTTAATTTAAATTTAGTTCCAGACGTTTCTATTTTACATCATTTATGATCATGGGACGGACTGTTTGTAATGTCAATGCTAACCCTGGCTTCCGCCACTCGGTTATAAGTAACGGGCACTTAGCTATAATCGATTATGGGTTTTTTTTCCTATATGAGAAGGTGCAAACGAGCTGGCGGTTCACCTCATGTTAGCTGATAACCGCCGCCCATTGGCATTTACAACACCCGTAGGGCTGCAGATGCGTTGCCGTCTTTTAATAAAGTGGAACCCGGCTACCTCACTCACCGGACGAAACGCAGAAGTAAAAACTTCTAGTTCACGCCGGTCTCCTGTGAGGTCGTGGTACTTACCCGGAAGAACCTGCCCATTCGTACAATGGCGAAGACTGTTGCCAGGCCCTACCACCGTAAACTAGAAGAGAAGTAAAGCCCAAGCCAATTAGCCTTTGCATTGTCTTCTTACTCCTGCCCTTATTAAAGTGAAAACTTCTTTACGAGTTGAGCACTTTTTGGGTGAACAAAATTCATGGAAATCGCGTCATCGTCACCGAACGCTTTTCATGAGCTATTTTCAAAAAAGCAATACGCAAAAATATATTGTAGTTATGGATATGATATAAATTCTATTATTATCGTTCGGAATGCCTATATAATGTGTAGCATTAAATATAGAATTTTAATTTTGATATTGTTTGTTTCCACTTTTGTCGGCAGTCCCCATGAGACTGCTTATTTTAATTTTATTAAAATATTGCTGTCTATTCTAATAAATGAAAAAGTTAATCAACAATAATGCATTCTTGTTTGACGACAGTACGGTGGTTGAACGTAGTTTTGCAGTGATCTAAATTTCCCACGAGGGTTTTGCAATTTGACTGACATAAGTTAGACATCAATTATTATTAATCTTCCCTAACCAGTAGTCGGATTGAGCATAAAAGCACGAAGGCACATTATCTAATCTAACGGTGTGGACAGACATCGCTCCGGCGAGCTATATCATCCTTCTGAAGTTATGCGAGTAAAAAAACTTGTCAGAATTTTACACAGGACATATTTTTATAAGTAAAATATTGCAAATCCTGGAGAATTATTTTTAGTGAGAATCCCATGAAATCCAATTTTGTTACATCAAAAGCAATGATACTACATACAAATACGAAGTAGATACAACACTACCGCACCGAAACTGAGGCACTCAAATTACGCCAGTTGATGTAATTCGACTGCTATCTCTTTCCGTATCATACGTTCTATATCATCCGTCACGTTCACATAGTTATGTCATATAATTTAAAGCGGAACAAATTTTAAACGCCGCGCAGTAAGACATCATCTTTATTACACGTCATTGATCAAAAGTCCATTATTTTCTAATCGGATAAATTAAGCTATTTTTGCTCGGGGCTCATTGAAAACTGCGTCCCGGTGACCCGGCGTCCATTAAGCGAATGCCACATGCCAATTCTGTTGACAGAATTTCAATTACCGAGCACCGGCCTCGAGCTGACGCCTCTCGATTGATTTTCTGAGCCGTCGACTCGGATAACTCGGTCGGGGCGAGAACGTTTTATGGAGTAATGGGCGATAAATTCATTTCGCCGTGTCCCCGCTGTGTTCATTCCTGTAATGAGATTTCCCCCGCGATTCGTTTTACTGATTTAGTTTGATTCGCCGATTATTATTGCGTAAAACGATAAGGAATATACAGATAAGTGTAAAGAACTAAACCTCTAGTTGATATGTTCACTTCTGACAACATCCTTTTATTATCCTCTGTTACAAGGACCTTTTTGCATGCAAATTGGGAATAGACCTTTAATCCAGTGTTCCCAAAGGGCCTTTTTATAAGCACTTATTAAATACAGCGTGTCTTTACCACCACCAGTACATTGCGAAATTTGTGTCAAACAGGTTTGCAATTTTAATTAGCTGATATTCTTTCGCGATTACTATTATATACTCTGTGTTTATTTTATTATGACTGTATGAGTTTCGAGAAAACGGGTATACTCGTTTTCCTTCAGTAAGAACTACTGTAAAATTCATCACAAAAATCCAACACAATAGGACGTCTTGTATTGCTTGTAAGTGATCCAATTTTCTTGAATCGCAATACCACTTAACGGCAATCGTTCTAACCTAGGTCTCAATTGATTTGCTCCGAAACGAATTATTGGCTTTAAATAAGCGTTTTAGATAATTTATCTTTTTGATAGCAAAAGGAAACATTTCCTACGGTGATTTATTTACTTAACGTACAATATTTCTTATATAATATATTATTTATTGGTGTTATAATATTTATTTATACGTTATTGTCCTGATATGTATTAATGATGGGCTTAATATCATCATCATCATCATCTCGTTTCTTCAGTAGGAGTCGTTCTAAACTATAAGTTTATATATAGAATAATTAAAAAAATCCACACATATTTTTTTCATTCACAGTTTGAATAATCCAGGAAAAGCATTTTGAGGGTTTAACTACGTCTGACCTTAATATCACGTGGATTCTATAAAAGTAACCCATAAAAAGCTCGTAATGACTGACATATATTTCTGTTTCAGGGTTAAATGCCTGCGAGAGGAAGTCCTACCTGTTCTTGAGGAAGGAGCTGCCAGTAAGGTTAATATTTATTTTATTTCTCTGAATCTCTCGAGATGGCAACGTGCCAGGAATGACAAGGTCTGTGGTTCATTGCGATTCATCGTACTAACAAAGGCGGATGTACCTTTGCCCCGTAAACATTTGGAAGCACTTTGTTATTTCAACATTAATATGGCTTTATTCTCTTTTTTTTCTATACCACATGATTAACCTGTCAATATAAGTATATATTACGTTTTATTAAATATTACTGACACTATTGAACGTCGGAACAACTCTTTGGTACACAATAAATATAACTGAAATATATAAGGTTTGCGTGACTTTGACCATTTGGAACAGTGACCGTCAAAGTTTTATAGACCGTTTAATATTAAGAAAAAAACGGCTGCGCTATTTAGACGCGTTTGACCGGAACGCGCTCGGAACAGCTGCAGAGATTCGTTCACGTCGCGTCGTAACTATATACTTTCTTTTGTTTGTTTACAGAATGCCAGTGTTGATTTCTTTGAAATTTAATGCACCTGACGGCGTTTCTGTACATTGTTACGAAGGAATCGTTATGGAGTGATTTAAATTTAGAACAATTTAAAAATATTCCTCTTTTGAAACACTCATGGAACCTTTTTTTATGTGAGAAGGTGGCAATCGATCTGTCGGTTCTTGACCTTTGAAACACCCGTAGGGTTGCAGATGCGTTGTCGCTTTTTAATAAAGTGTGCCCCGGCTACCTCACTCATCAGACGAAACGCAAAAGTGTAATACTTCCGCTAAACGCCGGTCTTCTGTGAGGTCGCAGTACTTACCCGGACGGACCTGCCCAATCGTGCAATAGAGAAGAATGTCGTGTGGCGCTACCATAGTAGAACCTCAGTAAATGATTCAAAGCCGTCTGTAATCGTCGGAAATTCAATATCCAGCATTGACGTAGGCAGGCATACCGTAATGAGATTATTATGACGGCTTGTAAGTCCATACATTTCATTTCAGATAGGTTATAACATAGAGCATATTAAGAAAAGAAGTATGGGCGCGTGATAAGCGAAGCAGAGAAGCCTTTTAGGTATTGTGCAAGTAAGAGCAAACAAAAATAAATAATTTTAGTGTAAAGTCCGATATTGCTTTTCGGAATCTATCAACACCATCGATCAGATCATTCAGTAAACATTTTCATTTCATTATTGAAGGCCATGTGTCGGGTGATCGTGTTGTGCCATGCGATACGCAGTTGTTTATGTACGTCGATTGCTCCTCAAGGTTGATCGAGACCTTACGTTTAGTTTTGCAGCAGTGTGACAATTCTCATTATGTATAAAATGTGCTATTATCGTATTTGTAACAATCACTAATACAACTTGCCGAGGGATAAAAGATGATAACCTTTTATATGACGAAATTTTTATTTTTGTAAATTGTGAATCGTTCTTTTTTGCATGTCTTTGTTGTTTAGGATGTTAGCGCATTGGCTTATTTTGTACCGCGGTGATAAAAGAATCCAGGTGTTGAAATATCAGCCTAAATTTTTACTAACATCTATCCGAGCTTATTAAGATCATCATCATCACCACACTGCGGCAGTCAGTAAAAAGTAAAGTACATAAAGTACATAGTACATAAAGTAAAAATAAGATATACTTTATTGTACACCAAGAAACATTACAGTATTTATAATAAAAAAACACACGGGTACAACAGGCGGCCTTATCGCATAAGCAGCGATCTCTTCCAAGCAACCTTAGGGCAGAGAAATTCATTGAAGGAAGAAAGTGGAAGGGGTGTACTAAATAAATATTAAGAAAAATACATACATAGAAATACATAATATTATATACATATAACCAGAAAATAATATATATAGCACGACAGATAGAAGATTAAGAGGAAAGGTAATGAAAATTTAATTTAGTTTTAAAAATGTTAAGAGATTTAGATTGATTAGATTGATTAGATTGTTTACTATCTAAGGGGAGAGAACATCTGTATCCACCGCAGCTATCGCTGTATCCACCGGTCCGGTTTCCGGTCTCTAAACGAGGTCTCCTCTGAACAATGCTCTTCTTCTCCTACGGTATTCACCGCTCAGCTTCAAATTTATACATGATCAAAAGATAAAAGATATTTTTGAGATTCAAAGCAAATTAATATGGTTCTGTTCATTTTGTTTTATGTTTGTGGCATACATCAAAAACTATACGTAGCTATGTAGTTCAATATAGTTTTTCTGTGCGTGTTTATGAATGCGGAGTGCATAAACGTTTGGACTGATTTTGGTGAAATTTTTTCTTGTCTTCAAGTAGGTTCGAGAATAGTAGTACCTAGATTCACAAACTTTGATTCAAAAAGGATTGAGATTTTCGGATTCAAGACGAGCGTACAAGGACTGCGTCTGTCAGGTCCGCCGCCAAGTATTTAGTTATAACTCTAGGCGTTAAATTTTACAACACGATGATATTCCAATTGCGCTTAACATGTGTGACGTAACAGTGTGATATTTTCCGTGATCACCTCGATCGTCATACGTCTGAAACAAAAGACGAGCTATGAAATTAGATCGATCGACATACGCTAAGCGACTAAAACGCTCGTCAACCCGTCAATCGGTAATAAACACACACAACAGCACATAAACAATGGAAGTGTGTTGGAACACATGGAAATTACCGATGACCCTTGGCTTGAACGAATCAAACTTCCTACTTGAATATATAGAATATACAAAGTATACCCACGACAAGCATTTCGTTTTATAGTATACTACTACTACTATAAAACGAAAAGCTTGTGAAACGAACGGTAGTGAGTTTATTTTAATAAATTATTTTTCACTGCTTTCTTAATATGCAAAGAGGTGAACGAATTAAAGAATATGTTTATAAGTCCCAAAAGTTGTCCCAAACCCGTGGGTTCTGGCTAGCCCACCGGTTCTGCGTCAAATGAAGCTTTATTTTAATAGTCTCGGGACTGAAAGCAAGAACATCAGTTAATACAAGATACAATGTTTGTATGATTAATAATAATTCATACAAATATAATGTAATCCTGCATATGCCAATTGCTCTCCTTAATCGTTAAGGGGCATTGATGAACTTTAAAATAATTTGCATAACTTGTACGTAACTGTAAAGCTCTTGGACTTCTATTGATGGATAAGTATATTATTAAAGCACATATATGTATGTCTTCGCATTACTTCTTTATCTCTCGGTTCCAATTGTCCTGTTTCTCTTAAATTCAATAAATATGGCAATTATTTCTTTTCAATCCAATACTGTCACAAAATTCTTTCGATAGATTTTGTCTCTTAGTTTTACAGTCACGTCCTCCCCTTGTTATGAGGACGTCAATCCACTTGTGGATCCGTTTTGGATGATTTTTTTTTTTTTTTTTTTTTTTTTTTAATAAACATTGCCCTTACTTTAGGATAACATTAACCTGTGTTGTAAGGACGTTTTACAAACATAAATTTCACGCGGACAAACACCCAGATGCGAAACGACTATCTGTGGGTCACACAAATAGTTGTCCCGTGTGGGAATCGAACCCACGACCCCCGGCACCGAAGCCGATACCTTAGCGACTGCGCCACGGAGTCCTCTAAACACTTCTTCTACTAATATAAACATTAAACATTTCTTTACATTTCAACATCAACTCACGATAACAAACCTATGTAGATGTTATAAATTTTTTTTATTCCAGGTGCCTCAGAGGCCTATCTCAATATTACGGCCTTCATTGGTCCGTGTAATCGTGGCATTTATTTCATTTGTTTTTTTGTATTGCGACGTCACCAATAAAAACTTAGAGAGCATAGAACATAGAGCAGGTTAATTTATATTTAGCCTCTTGGCGGGCTATGTGCTAAAGAAAGCCTTTTACACAAAAAAATATGTAAATATAAATGAAGACATGAGTGGATGACGGGGATATAATACAATTTGTAAATGTTGAGAAAACGGGCATCAAAGTTTTGTTGCTTGTTTTTGAGATAAATCTTTTTTCTTTTTGATTATTTACTAACTATTTATGTCAAATTATAGTAATTATTGACACGTACTAATATGGAGTGGAAAAATAAGATTAAAGTTTAAGTAAATATGTATTTATTGAAAAAAAAAATGTACATAACTCCTTCATTCATATCTTGATAATAAAGAAGTTTCATACTTAATTTACGGATGAATGAATTAACTACATAATTAACGTAATAAAACCAAAAAAAATTACATGTGTGTCGGGTTAATCTGGACCTACAAAGTGTTCATAATTCCGGTTTCAAAAATGTTATCTGTTCTTTAATATTAGCTTTCTTTTCTTCAAAATTGTATCATATTTTCTTTGTACCCGTTCAACTAAAGTAAGTCTTCTACTTGTCCTCTTTTTTTAATATATCCACTTTTCTAAAAGGCATGTTTTCATCATAACTTTCTTTGTATAAGTAGGCACCGAATTCTTCTACCCCTATCCACTGAATATCGTCCCTGAAATTAACCCATTGCTTGTTTTCGTCTTTTTTTTTTCTGTTTATCAAATTGAGTTGATTTTGCAACTAGTTCATTTTACGATAATGATCCGTCATATCGATAATAACATTGTTTCTAGACACTTTGCATATTATCTCTCGATATTGCTCAGGCGTATATATATTGCCTCATGCTTGCGCATGATCTTTTTGATGCGACCAAAATCTCTATCAGAGTCCAGATAAGAATAACCGACATCGGGAAATTTGTGGTCAATGATTTTAAAATAACCCTTCATGATCATGTCTTGGTAGATAATTTTTTTATTCTGTCCAGCACAGGAGTCCGACCATATAAATAAATGATTTTTTTTTTGCGACAAGATGGATCCACTTCAACAAATCTTAGTAGGGAGCTAGCATCTTCAACAATACTTCTGTCGGCTACATCTTCTGTCCACAGCTTTTTGTTTGGTCTGGTCACTAACATGGATGCCCAAATTATAAAAAAATTCCGTATAATATTAACAAAAAAACCGGCTTCAAACCTGAAACT